TATAAATGAATACATGATTAATACATTGCAGCACCAGTTTACAAACCTTGGATTAGACTTTCACTTTTCCTGCTCTATATTAAAGATATTGGTTTTTTTGTTTTTTAATGTTTGTTAGTTTTAAAGACCTGGGTGACTGGCTTGTTTGTTTGTTCTTTAGTGGCTAAATTGAGTGGACTTATAGCATGAGATAAGCCCAAAACAGCATCCTGACTAATGGAAGTGACATCTGGTGAGCAATGAGGCATGGTATTTGGTTTTTAGTGAGTGCTGGGTTGAAAGTCAACACTACTCTAGAATCACAAAGAGACACTATTTAAGATTTTGCTGGTTGGCAGAGATCCCTCATTTTTTTCTTTGTCACCTGGCCAGCCATTTCCTACATCAAGACATTTGCGGTTTTGATTGACATCATTGTGTCCTCCCCTACCCTTTCCCCTGGGACCACAGAGCCAGCCAAATAGACAGGCATCACTACTCCTACAATCTGCATCAGTTTAAGCCAAGAAATGCAGCTACCTAAATCTATAAGTCACAGAAGCTAGCTGACTTCCCCCAAACCAGTGCCAGAGCTAAGCCAGACTTCCAAAAAAAAAAAGAAAAGAAAAAGAACAGAAAAGAAAGAAAGGAAGGAAAGGAAAGGAAAGGAAAGGAAAGGAAAGGAAAGGAAAGGAAAGGAAAGGAAAGGAAAGGAAAGGAAAGGAAAGGAAAGGAAAGGAAAGGAAAGGAAAGGAAAGGAAAGGAAAGGAAAGGAAAGGAAAGGAAAGGAAAGGAAAGGAAAGGAAAGGAAAGGAAAGGAAAGGAAAGGAAAGGAAAGGAAAGGAAAGGAAAGGAAAGGAAAGGAAAGGAAAGGAAAGGAAAGGAAAGGAAAGGAAAGGAAAGGAAAGGAAAGGAAAGGAAAGGAAAGGAAAGGAAAGGAAAGGAAAGGAAACAGAAGCAGGCCTTCTGTTGGTAAGGTAGTGAACTGTGTGGTAATGAGTAGGTAGCTACCTAAAAACCCTAGAGCAGGCCTTAGGCAAAATTTCAAAATAGTGATGACTCAGAGCTCCTATCTTGTTTTTTCTGATAGTGTCCTTCCCTGATGGTCAATCGCTCTCTGTTTTCCAGGCTTTCCAGCCTACCCTGAGAAAGATTACTGGAAAAAATGACCCTCTATCATTAATCATTTACACTTCAGTGTGAATTTTAAGTTTGCAAATGAATATGCTTCTCTGGATATTTAAATTTTTAAAAATTTATTTCTTTTACTCCAGTTACATGTAAAAACAATTTTAGTGATATTTGCATTTTAAATAATATCTGCAATGCCAGAGGAAAGCCTTTAAGCCTATTTAAGACACTTCAAGCTTCTTCTGAGGGTGGTGGGATTGGAAACTGGGAAGTCTTCTGGATACCCCAGTAATCACTCTAGTACAGGAATCCCAGAGACTTTGAAGTTTTAACATTCTTGAAGTTTACAGTTTCAACAATGAAGAGACATACACAGGCTGTTTAACAGCAGGCAGAGAGCTGGCCTCAGAGCCAAGAATACCTGGGTTCAAGTCCCATCTCTGATGTACACTAGCTATGTTAATCTCTCAGTGTTTTAACTAAGCGACTCTCTAAGACTCTAAGTTGCAGAGAAGGCACAGACCTGAGTTGGTACGAGGAGCTTCTTCACTTTAAACTCCCTATATCAGCTAGGTGGTGCAGTAGTTAGAGCACTGATTCTGCAATCAGGAAAACCTGAGTTCAAATCCAGCCTCAGACACTTACTAGCTGTGTGACCCTGGATAAGTCACTTTGCCTCAGTTTCCTCATCTCTAAAATGGGGATAATAATAGCCCCTACCTCCCTAGGTTGTTATGAGGATCAAATGAGATAATAATTGTAAAGTGCTTAGCATGGTACCTGGCACATAGTAAATGCTATATAATGTTAGCTATTATTATTATTACCAGAGAAGTTGTGGGCCTGGTCTCTCTCTTACAAAGGTTCTAAATAATAATAATATTCCCAGGACCCAGCACAGAGCTTGGGATAGAACAGAGACTTAGTAAATATTTGTTGATTAATTGGAAAAGACTAGATGTGACTTGTGTTTTGTAAAGGTTATTCATATAAATGAGAGGCAGATTGATATAATGAATGGAGAATCAACCTTGGAGCCAGGAAAACAAAACGACATAACACAACACAACACAGCACAACACAACACAGCACAAAACCAAACCAGGTTCAAGTGTCTTCTCTGACACATACTGGTGGTGTGAACCTAGGTGAGTCGCATAACCTTTTGCTGGCCTCAGAAAACTTTCTAAGACTAGTAAGTTCTAGAATAGAGGTAAAGGGGGCTCATCATTGGGATTCCATATTCCAAACAAATCACTTATCCACAACACCCCCCTGTCCCCCCCATCCCCCCCCAGCAAAAATCATAAAAGTGACCTCAGTCATGACAAACAAATCACTTAGGAGAGGTGGAGGGAGGTAGGGAAGAGGGCAAATTGAACACTTGATAACTAGTGGCTAATACTCTCCAGAGGAGCTAAAAAATTGTTTTTAGATAATAATAACTAGCATTTATATTATGCTTTAAGATTTGCAAAGTGGTTTACAAGGATTATCTCATTTAATCTTCACAATAACCCAGTGAAGTAGGTGCTATTATTATCCCCATTTGACAGATGAGGAAACTGAAGCAGACAGAAAGTTAATTGCTTTGCCCAACGTCACATAGCTAGGAAGTATCTGAGGCTAGATGTGAACTCAGGTCTTCTTCACTCCATGTCCAGCACTCTATTCATTGAACCATTTAGTGGTCTGTAAGTTAGTAAATTTATAGCATAGAATGATGCTTTTCCTCAGCTTAATTACATGTGCACATCAAAAAAAAAAAAAGCTAAGCATCTCTGAGTTTTCTCTTTGGCTTGATTGACTTGCAAATCGGCATCTTCTTTTTTTACTCTCTTAAGGAGTAGGTTGTTTGTATTCCTCTTATGCATTTATACAATATCATATAAGCTGCACAAGTACAGGGATAAAGTCTTATGAAATATTTTTCTCTTTTTCAGAACACAGTGCTCTGCACACAGAAATGTTTAATAAATGTATGTGGACTTGTTGAATTGAATGCAAGGCTGTATAGGTTGAGCTGGCAATGGTTTTTCCCTCACAAAGAATTCATAATATTGGACTTAGGCTTCTCATAAAAGACTAAGCTAGTCAGGAAAACAAAGGCTGTGCTTCTCCTGAGTAGTTTAGCATCCAGGGGCAGAATTCTGGGAGGAATAACAAACAAGAACCCTAATTCATCCTCTGTACAAAGGCTAATCTGAGAGTAATGATTGTCAAATGTATCTCATATGCTGGATGTTACTGAACTATGCAGAAAACTTTAGATAATGAATTTTTGCACTTGTGTTTGACGAGCCTGCATTGCCAGTGGGAGAAGTGGGAGGACATTGATTGACCAGTCTTGGAGGTTAAAAATGATTTTCCACAAAGGCATCTGGGATAGGCTCAGCCAAAAACAGGATCCACCTCTCAGAGCTGCTTATACCTGCTTTGGTCAGGTCATCTACCGTTCAGGAACTGATCATTCCAACCAAATTTCTCAGATTCTCTACTTGTGTGGGGAACACACATACACTGCCTTCCTCCTCAAGTATGTCAAGAAAACTTGGTAGCATAGCCTGTGAGCTCCTTGAGAGCAGGGACGGTCTTTTTCCTTTCTTTGGATCCCCAGTGCTTAGCATAGTGCCTGGCACATAGTAGGCTCTTAATAAATTTTTATTGACAGACTGACTACCTGATGCTACCAATCTGCAAAGGGATATAAATGTGGAATATACATAGGAAAAAGTCCTTGTCCTGATTTCAGTAGATGTCTATAGGACAAAAAAAAGTCACATTTGGGGATTATAGATTACTCTTAAAATAAACCCAGATTAAATCAGGCAAGGTCATCAGCAAAATTTTATTCTTTGCATTTGGAAACATGTTTTTTCTCCTCTTCTGTTGATTAGATATAAAGAAAAAGACCAATTGTCTTGGGTGCCTCAGGTCTATCACCAACAAGAACTGGATAAGATCTTACCCAGTGCAAATGAGGATAATAATAGTACCTACCTCCCAGGGTTGTTGTAAAGATCAAATGAAATAATAATTATAGAGCACGCAGAACATAGTAAACACTTTATATGTTAGCTACTATTATATCATATAGTTATTATATTATGTAGCTATTATTATTATAATTAAAATCTGGTCTCAAGACATTTGCTAGCTGTGTGACCCTGGGCAAGTCATTTGACTTCTATCTGCCTCAGTTTCCTTAAATATAAAATAGGACAATAAAAGCACCTGCCTCCCAGGGTTGTTGTGAAGATCAAATGAGATAGAATTTATAAAAGGTGTTGTATATAGTAAGTGCTTAATAAATACTTGCCTCCTTCCTTTTAATGGTTATCTTTTACTGTCTCCATGTGGAACTCCTTCTTCCAATCCCAATTTGTTTGATGATAGCTTTAACTCAGTTCTTTTTCATAGTTCCTTATTTGTTATATGTTTCAACCTGTTCACACCCACCATGTCTCACTCCATTGTCCTCTGATACTCATTTTTAGCTCTTTGGAGACAGTTGTGTTCCATGACTCAAAGTCAGAAAATTCCACTGATATTGAAAAGATGAGCCATGTTTTAAGGAGAAGTTTGGGCAAGGGGGTTGGTGTAATTAAAAGAATGTGGAGGAGCAGCTAGGTGGTGCAGTGGATAGAGCACTAGCTCTGCAATTGGGAGGACCTGAGTTCAAATCTGGACTCAGACGAAACACTTGACACTTACTAGCTGTGTGACAACAGGCAAGTCACTTAACCCCAATTGCCTAAAAAAAAAAAGAATATGGAAAATTCCCATGTATGATTCAGCCATGGTTCTCTTTTTAATTCTGTACTTTACAGTTTTCAAAATGCTATGCCATAGATTATTTCATTGGCTCCTCTCATTTCATATGATTATAGAGCAAAAGCTGGAAGGAGACCTAAGAAGTACTCTCTAGTCCAACCCCCTCACTTCATAAATAAGGAAACCAAGGTCCAGGAAGGTTGCCCAAGTTTGCACAAGTGGTAAGTAGCAGAACCAGAATTTTAAGCCAAGCACTCTAATTCTAGAGCCTGTGGTCCTACTATATAACATAATGCCTTCTTATTCAAGTCAATTCTATTTGCTTCAATTCAGTTCGATGCAACAAACATTTTTTAAAGTGTGTACTATATGTAAGGCACTGGGCTCAACCCTGGAAAGACAGGAGAAAACCAAAGCATTTCTACCTTCAAGGAAATTACAAGATAGGGAAAGGACTAATAACTCTGGAGCTCAGGTAGGATGTCCTATAGGAGATAGCACCTGTGTTGAACCTTGAAAGAAGTTAAGGATTCTAAGAGGTAGAGGGAGTGCATTTCAGGAGTTGAGGACAACCTATGCACAGGCGTGGAGGTGGAAGACAGAATTCCAAGTTTGGGGAACAAAAAGTAGGCCAGTTTTGCCCACCAGCTGCTATGATGGTACCAGTTTATGAGGACATTGCTGACTGCTCCCTGACTTTCTTCCTTATTCCTTCCTGTGCTTAGGCATAGCACGTTACTGACAGTTGTAATGATGAAATTTTCTTCAAGGACTTTTCCACCACACAGACCACATGTAGCTTTTGGCTTCTGAACTTGGTAGCTTTCATTCAGGCAGACATCCAACCAGTTCAAGACCTCCACGTTTCTCGTTTCATTTGGGGGCTCCTACAGGGACAAAAGCATGCCACGAGAATGTGATCACGAATTGTTACTAAGCCTCAGCTCTTTGGGAGCACATCAGGATCTGCCTTCTTCTTTCCTAGTATCTTATTCAAGTAGCCAAGCAGTCTGTGCCCTCTTCCTTCCTCAACCCAATTGTTGGCAGTTGCTCCCTCACATTCACGGGCCTACATTATTTATTTAGAGTGCCTGGGCATATTTATAGCTCATCAGAAAGGCAGCAGCCGTTCATTTCCCAGGAAAGTAGAACATTTGGACATTTAAAAGTATTTTCAAAAGAAAAAAAAGAAACATTCTCTCAGAGAGCTCACAGGCCTGCTGTTCCAATGTGGCTTCCCAAAAAGGTCTCATTGGCTCCAGCACACTGCCAGATTTCTCCTGTGATGTTCAGCTCCTTCCTGCTGGGTTTGAGGTCAGAGAGCTTTACGCCGTTTTTCTGTTTGAACAGTTTTTTTCTATGTCCTCCACCTCCTCTCCCAAAGATTCCTAATTTCGTTTCCAGGCTACCCTTAGGAATAGGATAGTGGACCTTCTGGTTAGAATAAATAAGGAACAGTGTGGTATAGTGTCAAGAGCACTGATTTGGATTCAGAGAACCAGGGTTCAAATGCAGATTCTGCTACTTACTAGCTATGTGACTGTGGGCAAATTACTTAATTTCTTTGGGCCTCCGTTTCTTCATCTGTAAAATCAGGAAGTCGAATAAACTGATTCCAGTGCCCCTTGCAGCTCTGACTTAGTGTCTGTGGGACTTTGGGCTTCTGAATTTTACTTTGTTCAACTGTAAATTGTATATTACAATTGAAATTAAAATTTGTTAAATTGTGAATCATGTTTACTGAAACTACCTCAAAAGGAAGGGGAAACACTTTGCAAAGCCCAAAACACTATAGAAATATGAACCATGTTATATGTATATGTATGTAAAAAACAAGAATTCCTGCCTGTTGTCAGAGTATGGACTAGGTAACCATTAAAAGAGGTGTCTTCTAGTCTAAAGATTCAATAATTCTTTCTACTCTACTTCCTTTTTTTGTTAGGAGAGCTAAGCACAGTTTTATATGAGTTTAGCATCTCCTTTTTATTTTTAAAATTATATTAATTTTTCCCCAATTAACACAAATTTATTTTCTTTTACTCCAACTTCTGTATTTGAAAAAAAAAAAGAAAAACAAAACCCTTGTAACCCTTGTAACAAATACGCATAGTCAAGCAAAGCAAATTCTCATATTGGTCATATTAAAAAGTATGTATCTCATGTTTCATCTTGAGGCCATCCCTTCTCTGTCAGGAGATAGGTAGAATGCACCAACACTGGTCCCCTAGATTAATACTGAAGAGTCATAGTCATGATCTCACCTCATTTAACAGCCACCAGTATAAAATGGAGAGCTGGGAATATGATGTTCCAGAAGGCAAAAAAAAAAATAGGCTTACCCAGAAGAACTAAAAGTAATTGTATAGAAAAAGAAATGGATATTTAATAAAATGGAAGGACTTCCAAATATTTCTGGTGAAAAGGTTAGAGCTGCATAGAAACTTTAAAATGCAAACACAGTAGTCAAGAGAAACATAAAAAAGAAAGACTGAAAAAGGATGAACTGTTTACATTCTAATATAGGGAGATGATACATGTGTTCCTTTTGAACCCTGTAGTTATCAAGGGTCATAGAGGAATCCTAATTAGACAGAAGGCCTGAGAGTGGTTTTGTTATGTCTTGATGATCTTAAAAGAAGAACGAAAAGAGGAATACAATGAGCAGGGCAGAAGGAAGAGGAAGACTAAGGAAAATTATCTCACATAATTGGGGTATACAAGTACAAGTCTATACAAACAAGGAAAAAGGTATTGGGGAAACCACTGACATTTGAAGTTCGCTCTATTTGAACTGGTTAAAGGAGTGAAAAATATATACAGACAGTTGGATATAGTAGTATATTTCATTCAACAGGGAAATAGGAGGGAAAGGAAAGGAGGGAGAATAGGGAATAAGATTGAAGGTAAATTAAGGAGAAGATTTGTCCTGAGCAAAACAAACTATCTAAGGTTATAGAAAATACCTACAGCTCTTTTTTTTTTGCTATATCTATAGCAAAGAATTGGAAACTGAGAGGTTGCCCATCAATTGGGAGCTGGCTGAACAAGTCATGGTATATGAATGTGGTGGAGTACTATTGTATTAGAATATTGTTTTACTGTAAGATTTATGAAAACAAATTTTTCCAGAGAAACTTGGGAAAAGTTGGATGGACTGATAAAAAGTGAAGGGAGGAAAACCAGAACAATTTATACAATAGCAATATTGTAAAGACAAACAACTTTGAAATACTCAGGAACTCTGATTAACACAATGACCAGCCATAATTCCAGAGGATTCATGATGAAACATGCCGTCCACCTCCTGATAGAGAGGTAATTAACTCAGAGTATAGATCGAAACATCTATATGTGTGTATGTATATGTATATATACATATACGTACATACATATATATATCACATAGCCAATGCAAAAATTTGTTTTGTTTGATTATACATGTTTGTAATAGGGGTTATGTTTTCCTTTCTCAATTGGGGAAGGAGGAGAGAGAGAAGGTAGAATTTTGAAGATTAAAAAGTAAAACAAAAATTAATTTAAAAAAGAAACCCAGCCCCTGTAGCCCCACTCCCCAAAAAGAGAAGAAAAGGCATGGACTTGGGAGATAGAGTGTCATGTGTGAGAAACAATAAATAGGTCAGTTTCACTTAATGGTAGAGTATGTGGAGAGGAGTAAAGTATAAGAAGACTAGAAAGGTAAGAAGGGGCCAAGTTGAAAAAAACATTAAAATACCAAACAGAGAGTTTTATTTTTGATCCTGGAAGTAATAGAGAGCCACTGGAGTTTATTGAGTAGGGGGGGTGACATGGTCAGCCACTCAAAGATGGTGAAGACAGTTTGATGATTTTCTTAAGAAGTTTCCTACTGGTGCTAAATGAACAATTGTCTTTGACTAGAAATGATAGGACTGATGGGGCCAGTTCAGAAGCAAATGTAACCTAGTAGCAGTCAAGCCTATGCCTTACCAAAAAACTATGGAGATTGTAGCCACCAGTATGAAGCTTTTAAAATTCGTTCTGAAACGCTTTATAAACACAAAGGCAGCAATTATTTTTCATAGCATGAAGGAATATCATAGTCAAAGAAAGTTACAGATCACAGGGTCTGACAAATCATGCAGTTATAGATTTAGAGTTAGAAGGGATCCCAGAGACCTGTTAGTCTAATTCCCTAATTTTACAGATGAGGAGACTGAGGCACAGGGAGATCGAATGAATTGCCCACCAGTGGTAAACATCAGGGACAGGATTTGAATTCAGGTTCTCTAACTTCAAATCCTGTCTTTGACTCCAGAACCAGTGCTCTGTTTCCGTGGTACCATGAAGCCTGGATCATTTTATTTTTTTTCCTTCTTTCCTTCCTTCCTGTCTTCCTTCTTTCTTTCCTTCCTTCCTTCCTTCCTTCCTTCCTTCCTTCCTTCCTTCCTTCCTTCCTTCCTCCCATCCTTCCTTCCTCCCTCTCTCTCTCCTCTCTCTTTCTTTTTCATTCTTTCTTTCTTTCTTTCCTCTTTCTCCCTCATTTCCTTCTCTCTTTTTCCTCTTTCTTCCTCCTTCCCTTCCTCCTTCCCTCCTTTCTTCTTTCTTTCCTCCTTCCTTTAGCTTTTGTTTCTTTGTTTTTCTTTCTCTTTTCTTTCTCTCTCCCTTCTTTCTTTCTTTCCTTCCTTCCTCCCTCCCTCTCTCCCTTCTCTCCTTCTCTCTCTCATTCCTTCCCTTCTTTATTTTCTCCTTCCTTCCTTTACCTTTTGCTTCTTTGTCTCTGTCTTTTCTCTCTCTTTCTCCCTTCTTTCCTTCCTTCCTTCCCCTTTTTTCATTCTTCATTTCCTAAATAAAATTTTATTGATTTTTGTTGTTTTTATTTACAAAACCAAAATTTTTAAAGTCAATCAATAAATGTTAAAAGTCTGAAAATATATGCAATGTAGCATATCCATGGACCTCCAGCCTCTATAAAAGAGTGATGTAGGGTGTCTTCTCATATTTCTTTTGTTGGAATCATGCTTGTTCTTTGTGATTTTGCAATATTCACTTTGGATTTTATGGTTGTACTTATTTACATTGTTGTAGTAATTGTTAATAATGCTTTCTTGGCCTCTACTTCACTCTGTATCAGTTCATGTAAATCTTTCTATGCTTCTCTGTATTTATCACATTCACTATTTCTTATGATAGAGAAGTATTCCATTGCATTCATGAACCATGATTTGTTTAGCCATTGCCCAAATGATGAAGTTTCCTACTGGTGCTTCCCAATTCTTTGCCTCCACAATTTTTTTGCTTCCAATTCTTTGCTACCACAAAAAGAATTTATAAATATTTTGATGTATATGAGGACTTTTTCTTATCAATGATCTCCTTGAAATATAAGCCCGATAGTGGAATCTCTACAGACTCTTTTGTATAGATAAATTTTTTGCATATGTTTTAAGAAATTGATTCAATCCAACTATTATAGGGACTTGGGTGAAGAGAAAATCCTGTAGTTGCTTTTTGTTGTTCACTTTGCTGAATTAAGCAATAGGTCAGAGTACATGAATGAAATTTTGCTTCCTTTAAATTCTTTGATCCTTTCTACTCCTGCTTTTTTCTCATCAGAGAGAACCGTTCTTTTGTTATTCTCCATCCCAGGAGAGAAGTGGCCTAGCCTCATTCTCTTTCAGAGCTGCCACTTAATTTGACATGGTTTGGGGATTAGCTTTGGAAGCTTTGTAGCAAAAGAAAGAGGCAAAGGAGAGGTTATAATAGAGAGGACTCTAACACAAGGAAATGAGAAAGAAGGACTTGGGAATGAGAGAGGGTAAAGTTCACAATGCTCCTTCCTGTGATTGACCTAGCACTGATCTTATCAAAATTGACTTTCTAAGCACCTGTCTTTCTGTCTGTGGCATTGCTCTAGGTACCACATGGGGAGGAGAGAAGGGGGATTACTACATTATCCCTGACCCATAACTTATACTTTCCTAATAGGGGCCTTTTCCCTGAAGTCTTATACTTGTTGGTGGTATGAGGTAATGAGAGAAAGAGTCCAAAGAAGTCTTTCTCCATTGGTGAAGGTTGGAAGTAAGAGAGATCAGAGATCCTTACTTAAAAACATGAAAATATAAAGGACATACAAATATGTCTTAATTTATATTATCCTTCATGTGTTACTGAAATTTGCACGTAAATCAGATATTTGTTTTCCTTTTTTTTTTTAAACCGGATTTGTCATTTCATCTGCTTGGGAGCTGCAGGTGAGGAATTTTCTCTACCAATGACATTTTAACAAGGATGGGGAACCTGCGGCCTGGAGGCCACATGCAACCCTTTAGGTCCTCAAGTGCAGCCCTTTGACTGAATCCAAACTTTACGGAACAAATCCCTTTAGTAAAAGAATTTGTTCTGTAAAACTAGACTTAGTCAAAAGACCGTACCCAAGGACTTTGAAGGTCACATGTGGCCTTGAGGCCTCAGGTTCCCCACTCCTGGTAGAACTTTAGAGTTGGCTGGTTGTACTATGAGGTTAAGTGACCTGCCTATGGCAACATAGCTGGTTTATGTCACAATTGAGACTTGAATCACTCTGACTCTGAGGCCAATTCTCTATCCACCATATCATAATGACTCTCCAAATCAGATATTTTTAACTTGAATATCTTCAGTTTAGTAAGGGGGTTGATCATTTGAAGCAAAAGATCTTAGCCTAGAGCCTGTGAATTTGTTTTTTAAATATTTTGATAACTGTATTTCAATATAATTGGTTTCCCTTTATAAACCTATGTATTTTACTTTATGCATTTAAAAATATTATTCTGAGAAGGGGCCTATAGTATTCACCACACTGCCGAAGGGTTCCATAATACAGCAAAGGTCAAAAACACTTGCTTTAAAGGAACTTTGAGGTGAATCCTTGTCTAAAATACTCATTTTGTAATGTGAAAACAATTTAACTAAATTAAGAAGTAGAGTTGCATATTGGAGTTTCTTAAGCATAGAAAAAACACATGCTGGATTTTTTGGATTCTCACTTCTTCCTTATAAGTTTCAGGTATTCTGGTCTTCATGGAATTTAAAGGGGAAAAGAAGTTTTAAAAGTCATTAAAAAATAATCTACTATAAGTGACGCAGCCTAGCCATGCAAGTATACAGGCATATAGCTCGTCAAAAAGGAATAGTAACATTGGGGAAAATCCCAGGTTCCTCATGCCAGATGGTGCAACATGTGTTACTAAAGAACAATAACACCCACCTGCCGGCCAAAGAATTACTGACCTGGCACACAACAGCTCCTCTTTTTCCAGCTGACTTCAAATGCAACAAAGATCCTTAGAACTTAGATTTAGAATTAAAAGGGAACTTAGAGGTCATATAGTTCAACCTCTATTTTACAGATGAGGAAACCAAGGCCCAGAATAATTGAATGACTTACCCAAGGTCACATAGGTAGTAAATGATAAAGTTGGGAGTCAAATTTAGGTACTCTGACTCCAAATCTAGAGTTCTTTCCTTTAAATTAATATGTTTCTCCTAATGATGACCATTTGGGTGAAGAGGCAAAATGGGGTTTTGGTGCAACAGTCTACTTGTCCCATGTAACTCCGTCATTTTATTCCCTTACCACCAGGTTGAAGTAACCCACCATACCTTGTTTTGCTCACCTCCTGTAACAACACTAGCTTTAATACCATTGACACTATTACTGGATCATTGAGGAATAGAATCTTGGGAAGAGAGAGTTTTAACTCTCATATGGAAACGGTTCATGGTCATGGCTAGAGAGAGACTGTGAGATGAACAGAAAGAAAGGACTACAAGAACTTTCCTGAGAGTCAATTGTCAAGGAGAAACAATCTGAAGAGACATTTTGAAAGAAATGAATTTGTTTCATTCTGCGGAGAAGATACCCTGAAGAGAATTCTTGAGAGACTTTGATTACAAAATGAGTATTTTAGACATGGATTCACCTCAAAGTTCCTTTAAAGCAAGTGTTTTTGACCTTTGTTGTATTATGGAACCCTTCGGCAGTGTGGTGAATACTATAGGCCCCTTCTCAGAATAATATTTTTAAATGCATAAAGTAAAATACATAGGTTTATAAAGGGAAACCAATTATATTGAAATACAGTTATCAAGTAGCTACTTACTCTGGTTGTATTCTTTCTCACATCTGATAAGTTATTGATATATCTGAATATGTCTTTGTATTTTGGTTATATTGTTAATAAATTGTATAGTCAGTAATAATGATGCTGTTTAAGCACATAGGAGGTGGGGTTTGAGAGAGAAGAGTAAAAGTTTATGTGAAAAAAAGTTTTACTAATTTATTCATAAATCAGGACACAATCTCAGTTATTTGAGAAAGTGTACATTTCTGTTAATTTTTCAGGCAACGGCAGAAACATTCCCCTTAATTTCCTTAGGACCTAGGATGAAAATTAGTAAGGAAATGAACCAGTAACAGAAAAATGTGAGAGTTGGCTTGATTGCTGAAATGCACAATCACAGTCAGGCCCTATGTGGTGGGAAGGCCACAGGGTTTCTTTCGTTTTACCTCTTCCTCAGTCATTCCATAAGAGCATACCTGCTTCTTAAGTATATATGGGGGAATTACTACAATCATTATAGTCCCTAACTTAGTACTTTGGACTTTTCTTGGTCCAGACCTGTTATTGCATCTATGTAGTGAACTCCTGGGGAAAAATTCACTAGACTTACTCAGATCAGCAACTTGCTAATAATTTATAGTCTTAGAGAATTGCCTGCAGGGCTAAGGAGGTAAGTGATTTACTTGCTCATGATCACACAGAACTGGGATCCAGGCTTTCTTGACTCTCTTGTCAGAGATTTTGGAATCAGAGAACTTGGGTCTGAATTCCTGCTCTTCTATTTTGTCCCTGTGTGACCTCAAGTAAGTCACTTAGTGTCTTTGGGCCTCAGTTCCTCATCTAGAAAATGAGGGGGTTGGATTAGATGGCCTCCATGGACCCTTGGAGCTCTAACTCAATGATTCTATGATCTTTCTATCAATTATCCCACAGTGTCTCTCACCTTATAAGTTGTAAGTATTTATTGAATATTTGTTGAATAAATTGAGTACGTGCATTGGAGGAAAGGGAATGAAGTAACAGTAAAGATGAACAGTTTGCACACATTCTAATAGTTTGATCAACTATGATATATTTGTCTCCTCTCCTTAATTCCCTCCTCCCTAAAACTTCTTCTCAGTTTGGGCTTTATATTAACCCAGTTCTAGTTCTATGGCGATGGAATTGGCTGTCCAGAGTTGCCTTTCATAGTCTTTTGGTATCAGCGTCTCAGGTTTCTTGACTTCTTTCAGTATGGTATATGATGGTCTGGCCTGATCAGGATCTCATGTTCCCTTCTATTGGCCATGAGGTCAGTCGACTCAGATCATTTCATCTTCAACCTAAGAGGCCAAGACTTTAGAAGTCAATATTCTACCCCCTTTCCCTTCCTTGCTTTGGTATCTGACCCCAGAGTTGTCTCTCTCACCTGTATAAGAGATCTAAAAGAAAGAAGGAAGGACACAAGCATTTATCAAGTGCCTACTATATACCAGGGACTGTGCTAAGTGCTTAATAATATTATCTCATTTAGTCCTCACAATAACCCTGGAAGATAGGTGCTATTATTATCCTCATTTTGCAGCTGAGGAAACTGAGGCAGATAGGTTAAGTGACTTGCCTAGGTAAATACAACTCATAAGTGTCAGAGGCCAGATTTTAATTCAGGACTTTCTGACTCCAGGCCCAGCTCTCTATCCACTGAGACATCTAGTTGCCGCTGAATACTCTGGCTCCACTGGAATGTTCACCTCATTCATCTCTCTGTTCTAGTTATAGCTTCCAGCTATATCAAGCAGATATCTCTGTTCTAGAGATACCTTCCACCTATACCAAGCAGATATCTTTGTTCTAGATATTCCTTCCACTTATACCAAACAGATATCTCCATTCTAGAGATACCTTTCTCCTATACCAAGTAGATATCTCTGTTCTAGAAATACCTTCTATCTATACCAAACAGGCTACATTTACATACAATTTACAAATTACAAAGGCCTTTTCTCACAATAATTCTGTGAGGTGGGTATTGTAAGTCTCACTTTCATTTTCCAGATGATCAAACAAGCTTAGAGGTGTAAGATGATTTGGAATTTTAGAATGATTTAACTTAACTCTACTAATTGTAGAATGAAGAAATCTTAAAAGTCTAGTTATTCCAACTTCCTCATTTTACGGATAGGGAAACAGAGGCTCAAGGACATTGAAAGACTTGATCAAGGTCATATAACTAATCAGTGGCAGAGTTAATGTTAGAGCTCAGGCTCCTGACTCCTAGTTCAATGTTCTCTCAACTATGATGTGCTGCATGCATCCTGCTCATTGCCATCTAACACCAATAATTTTAAGGGTGCAACATGATGTAATGGGAAAAACACTGGATTTAGAATCAAAGGACATGAGTTTGAATCTGGACACTGCCACTTAACTAGGCCTCAGTGTCTTCCTCTATTAAATGAGGGAGTTAGACTATATGACCTCGAAGGTCTCTTCTATTTATGACTCTATGAACTGTATTTTAATATAATGTATATAGAAATTAAATTTTAAAACAATAGAATTTGACAAACTTTTGTAAAGCAACTTTCAGAAAGACTGCATCTCTTCCTACTTAAGAATGGTTGTTTCAGGGGAGCTAGGGGGCACAGTGAATGGAGCCCCAGCCCTGAAGTCAGGAGGACCTGAGTTCAAATTTGGCCTCAGACCAAACTCTTGACACTTACTAGCTCTGTGACCCTGGGCAAATCACTTAACCCCAACTGCCAAAAAACCCAAAATCCCCATTTGACAATATTCAGTCACATTCTTTCTTTTCTTCTTCTTCTTCTTTTTTTTTTTTGTCATGACAAAATCCAAGTTCCACTGAAAAGTTACTTAGTTAACTTTCTTTGTTGAAATCACTTAGTTATGAGTAGACATGATTCTAGGATGAAACTCATAGCCATGCTGAGGGGCTCAAGTAGGGAGCCTTCATTTTCCTTGTGGATAGATACTTCTCCCACCCCCTGCCACATCTGTATACTATAGTGTACATTCTAGAATGTGACCAATGTGACATGTCCCTCCAATTTTTTCCTTGTCTGTCTTAGGGTCCCTGAGAGATGTGAGGTACTACAGAGTAAATTACTGAAACATGCTAACCCCCTAGTTTGTCAAACCACATATCTAGTGGAATAGTAAATCTAGGACTTAAATCCAAGTCATCTGACTTCAAAGCCATATGATACCACAAGAAGGTACATATATTAGAGGCATTTTTACACAGAGATCTATAAAGTGTATATGAAAGGCAGCTTGCTATGATCTATGGTTCTTTGACTGATGCAACCTTGTGACTATAAAGCAGATTTTTTTAGTGGCCTGAGTTTGTAGTAATTCTGCCTTGGAAGTGTTGTCCTGAAATGGTTCATGCTTATGCCATCAGTTAGAAAGCAAAATCTCTTTACTGGGGAAGGAGTTGATACCCTAACCTCTCACTCTCTCCTGTGTGATTCCCAAATCTGTCCTCTCCTCATGCCCTAAATAAAGTAACACTAAGAAACATAAGGGCAGGCTCAATCACAGGTGGTTTTTTTTTTGAGAAATAAAATTGGATACATCAAATGGAGACTTTAAAATGTTTTAAATTTTTTAATTTAATTTTTTTTTTGCGAGACTATTAGGGTTAAGTGACCTTCCCAGGGTCACACAGCTAGTAAGTGTCAAGTATCTCGTCTGAGACCAAATTTGAACTCAGGTCCTCCTGACTCCAGGGCTGGTGCTCTCCACTGTGCCACCTAGCTGCCCCATAAAATATTTTTTAAGGGCAAAATTAGAAATGGGTTCTAGTTGCATTAGCTAAGGGTGTGCTAGTAAATGTGTAACAATCATTTCTCCAGGAAAAAAAAAAGTACTAAGGACTTATACATTTAATTTGCATATAAACACTTTCTTAGGTCTAGACAATCAACAAAACAATACATCAGTCCCTGAGTTGGAAGTTTAAGGATCGGTTCTCCAGGGCTGATTCAAATTGGCTCCAGCAGACTCCTACATCCAGCTGAAGTAGAAGGGGACCACAGATGTTTCTACCACTGGCCACCTTGCTGTCACTGTGGTTCCATCTACTTCTTTTCCTCTCCCTGTCCTCTTTCCTCTCTTTACCTTGAGATAAATCACAGCTTCTCTGGGCCTGAATTACATCCTGTCTTTTCTGAGGTAGTCTCCCAGTTTCTTAAGTTCCCAACCTCAGTGTCATCTTGGATTCTTCACTCACTTTCATTCCAGAAATCCAATCTGTTGCCAAATCTTTTCATTTCTACCTTTACGTCTCTCACACATCCGGGCCTTCATGTCTCATCCGCACTATTATAATAGACTTCTAACTAATCTCCCTGCTTCAGGTCTCTCCCTACTCCAATCCATTCTCCACTCAGCTGCCGCGGTTATTTTTCTAATACATAGATCTGACTATATCATCCCCTGCTCAATAATTTCCAGTGGCTTCCCATCACTTCCAGGGTCGCCTCTGGAGTCCCCTGTTTGGCATTCAAGGCTCTTCTATTTTTGCCTTTCTTTGTAACCTCAGTGCTTAGCAAAGCGCCTGGCACATGGTAAGT